AAATAAATTCAACAAATCTAAAAATATTTTAATTATAAAACTCCTAATTTAATCAAATATGTAGTTAGAAGATAGAAATTAATTGAGTTATTATCTAAAAAATATATATTGGAAGAAGAGCTATTTTAAAAAAATTGACTTATTATCATTATATCTTGATGATTAATAATTAAAAATATAAAATAAGCTTATAAAAATAAATAATAATTTTCCTAGTAAAGTTGGTTATTACATTAATATGCAACTTGCTAATCTAAGGTAATATGCAAGGAAAGTATAAAATTCTTTGATTGGCTAATTTCTTATTTCTTTTCATTAAAACGTCTTTAGAATATGAAAATTTTGGTTTCCATCTTTTTTATTATAAAGTTAAATTTTATAAGTTTTTTAGTTATTAAAAATATATATAGATTTTTAAAAATTTAATAATAAGCTTTTAAAATAATTATCAATTTTCAAATTTTAAATATGATTGCATATGAAAAATCAATTTAATTTCTTGAATATAAAAATAAAAAAAAATAAAAAAATTTATATTATTTAGTAATTCTAAAGTTTAATTGAATTAATTATTAAAATAAAAAATTTCTATAATAAATATATAATTTAGTTGCAATAAACTTGTAATAAAAGAACCAAATTTTTTTGAAGAAAGAATTCAAAATTTAGGTAGAAACCTATGATCAAATATAGATCTTTGGCTTATAAAAATTAAGTTATGTTAATAATTGAAATAGGATAGGAATTAGATGAGATTATTTATTTATGATCTTATATTTTCAATATCTTTTAAAGAATATAGAATATTTGATGTACAATTGGATCTTTGGATTTATTTTTAAATAATATTCTTAAAAAAATAGAAGTTTTTATAATTTATGATATTAATAATTATTATATTATTAGATAAACTTAAATTATAGTAGATTATATTCCAAAAAACCTTTTGGATCTTTCAAAAAATCAAAACATGACAAAAATTTATAAAAGAACATCTTCAAATTGAATGATTTATTTGGATGAAATAAAAAAATATTTGATTATTATTTAAGTTTAGATTCTTAGTTATAGATTTTAAATAAAAATATAATTATATAATATTTTTTTGGAATAAAATAAAAAAAATATTATAAACTTAAAAATATTAAATATTTATGTAAAAAGATATTGCTTTGTCCTTTAAAAACTATGAGTAATATGATATTATTTGATTTTTTAGTAATAAAATGTAATATACTTTTGAAATCTAATTTAAATAAGTAAACTAATTTTAAAATATATTTATATTCTTTTAAAGAATCTAAATATGTTCAAATTATTTTGGTGTATTTAGTAGAATGTAAAAATTATGTAAGAAAGTTTTAAATTTAAATTAAAAATTAAATTTAAATATTTTATTTGAATAAATTTAATTTTTAATTTTTAATTTTTATATAAAATATTATTTCATGCAAGTTACAATCAAATAGACTAAGATATCTAAAAAAGCCTTAAAATGTTAAAGCTTGGCCTTACTAAGGTGTGTAGTAAAGCCTCTTAGAATTATGTTCTGTCAATACTAAAAAAGAGTTTTAATTTTTAATTTATATTTATAAAAAAAATATTATTTATTAAAGTAGAAAAATTAGTATGTGATATTGAATTACAATTATTATTATTATTATTATTATTTTATTTTTTATACAAATAACAATAAGATAAGCTAATTCTTTTGGCACCATATTTATTTTTGTTGGTAATAAATTTTATCAAAATGGCATTTTAAAGAGCATTTGCAAGTAGAAGAATAAAATATATCAGAGCAATTGCTAGTAATGCACTAGATCTATTAAGTCAATATCTAAATGATTATACTTTCATAATTTATTAAAAAGAAGAATTAATCTTTAATATCAATCACAACCATAACAAGTTCTATTTGGCTTGAATATAAAGGCTTCAGATGGATTGTTTCATTTCCTTTTTTATATAATGCAATAGGTCCACTATATAAATATTATGCAAAGAAATAAATAACTGTCAGAGTCTATAACAAACTGCAAAGATTCTCATATTACTATTATATGTTGAATCACCCATTGTACATCATTAAGGAATAAACTTCGCTTTGAAATTGAAGCTTGAACTCTAATACGTGATTTATTTTTCTTACTAGGAATCCAACTCGCCCTTCAAGAATTAGCTCACCAAATCAATAAATTACAATTGAATAACACAGTGTGAAATTTTAAATCTTTTGTATCAGAGTTCAATAAACTTAAAAGATGTAAGATCATATGTAAACATAAATATTTTCACACACAACAAAACAACAGTGAAAGTAAGAATGGTATATGAATACTTCCATTAAGAACAGACACATCTATGCAACAATGTTTGTTCATCAATGGCTAGTCACTAACGCTTCACACAGTGGCGATGAGCACTCGCATTACGATAACTCAGGCGGCGGATTAATACAAAGATAGATTATCCCAGTCAGAGTTTCTGTATTGTACAGTATTCAGTTATGAGGTTCGCCATGTGAGCAAGATTCACAATCACGTCAGCGTGAAACTTCGCCTTTATGGTAGCTGATCGTTCGCGGAACATTCAAGGGTTAATTTCCTGATCTCAGACCGAATACCGACACACCGAAGGATCGAAAGAGTTACATGAACCTCGCTTCGCAATTAGCAGCTCCTGATACGGACCTGCAAGTCGATGACCCAGTCAGATTGTGAAGTGCGGATGACTCAGTATGCCATCCTGAAGTTGTTTGGACCTGGATTTGTTTGGTATTCACTGCAGTGGCAAAGGAGATGTTTCAGGACTTACTCATCAGGAGGCTCACAAGACTTTTGACGGAATGATTCTCAAGTAGATTCGTCTCTGGGGTATGAGTGTTTACGATTTTCTAAGGCTGATTAGTGATTTGCAACATGGGGTCGTGTCTATCTCATAGGACATGGATGGTCTCCTACTGGTTCAATTCGGATGAGGCAAGACCTCGGTGGTAGTGTGTTAACCTCATCAACTGTGGAGGCACGGTGGACTGGTTGTCGCCTAGTAAGCTGATCTGCTGGTAATCGGTGAGTAGAATGTGGCCCTAGTGAATGCCGACCACATTCTTTGACGTGCTTTAAAAAAAGTGCTGTGTTTTCTGTACCGAAAGGCTGCTGGTATCACCTTGTCCGTCATTTGTGGAGTCGTGACGAAGATCATCAGTGACTGCTTCAAGCACCAGCTCTATTCGAGGTCTTTCCGAGTTTTTTCATTGCTACCGAAAACTTGCAGGTTGATATTGGATTGCGGGTGTCTTCGGTGATCACGAACGATCTGCTATCGTAGCTCAAGAACTGTCGTCGTGGTGGAGTTCGCAGCGGTGGGCTATTCTCACCCAGTGAAGTAAACAATAAAAATTGAGACCAAGGAAGGTGACTCTTGCTCCAGGATATCCCAAGTGTGTGATTCAGCGACATTTCAGGGCTTACTTCACAGAGGATTCAGAATACAAAATTTCCAACAGCTACTGGAATTGTTTGCGGTGTTCATTTTATCCTCAACGATAGATCTAAGGATCAGAAGATTGCCTACGAGTTTGATTAATTTCAATAGTCTTTGCACATGAACAAATGATTTTACGAATCAACTTGACTGGTATTCTACGCATGTATCTCAGGATATACTTTATGTAGTCACCTTGTCAATTTTCCTGACTCATCTGAACGGCATGCAATTCACGCTTTGACATCCTGCAAACTTTCCAGCACATCAACAGATTGTCCTCTTTGCTATGATAATGTTCATCCGTTTACTAAAATCTTACATTCTTTACGTTTTTTTTTCTTCTACAAACAATAAGTTTTTAAAATTATATCCTATTGTCATAAAAGTTAAAATATGCATTATCTTACATTATTTAGACAACATTCTTATCTATTCTAAGAATATAAGAAAAAGATGAACAACATATTAGCCTATATTATAAAAACTTACAAATATAGGATTATATACAAAGATGGAAAAATACTTCTTTTATTCAATTCAAGTAGAACTTTTGAAGTACATTATTTCAAGTGGTGGTTTGCAAATAGATTCTGAGAAGATGTAAATTATTATATTTTTTAAAATCCAAAAATTATATGTTAAGTTCAATATTTTTTAGGACTTTTTAAACTATTATTAGATATTTGTCAAAAACTTCTTTGAAGTTTCTACTCCATCTATTTAATTAACTTCAAAAGAGAAATTAGAATTAAAAAAGAAGTAGAAGCCACATTCAAGGTTCAAAAATGACCTTTACATTTGAACTTATTTTATATTACTAAGATTTTTTTTAACATTTTTAATAGAAACAATTATACCTTATTTGGGTATCGGGTAGCAATTCAACTGTAAGTTGGCCAAATATACCAATGATCACTAAATGGTGCTACAAAGAAAAGCTTTTTCTAACTACTCTCAAATTGATAAAAATGACATAGAAGTTTAATATCTAGGTCGGTGTCCTAATTCAAACCGAGCATCGTCCTCCACACTCGCTTTGTTGTCACGGCAAAATAATATCAATTTAGGATAATCTTCTTTCCAATGAATGCTCCCTCACTCAAAGAGATATGAGCAACACACTACTGCAACTACAGTCTCAAATCTGGATGTGAAGAATAGGTGTCCTCTCGACTAAGTTCAGTCGCTAATGTCAGTTAAAATTTCACTTGCCAAAATATGCTTCACCTGAAATGGATTATCAAATTCTATTTGTAGAAGTGTGCTCATACATAGAAATTGAGTAGGCTCTCGATCAGCGCGTTCAAATAAACATTACCCGAACTCAAGCATCAGAAAAAATTAACTTCCTGCATCAAGTTCCTCACGATCTACCGTTCATGGTCATCTACAATAGAAGAAATGCTTTCTACCGATAACTTTCTGAACCTCTGAATCTTTGGGAAATGAAAAAGAAACAACAACTAAACAACCACAACATGTGTCCCTTCCGCAAAAACACACACAACATCATCGAGAAAATGCCGCCTACAACTTTGGAAGAAAAAAAATTAACACAAGGGAGTACTTGACCGCCGCAGCATCACTCCGTTGATGCCAAATTCACAATCTTTCGCTTAGTTTCATGCCCGTTCCAATTGAAGGAAAAGAACAACACGGCTGGATGCAGTATCAACCCACACCGCCACACATACAATTCATGCTAGGAATGTATACACAAATAGCGAGTGCGGAGCTCTTTCAAATACACACTACATTGTCAACGACACGAGCTCCAGCCGCCGTAGTTGAGTCTCCGCTGTGGTCCGACGCACAGCAGCCCACTGCAATAAATCGCTCCAAAATTGCTCCAACCGCATGGCCACAACACTGAGAAAAACAGGGCTACACCGTAGTACCTCAACGAACAAGAAAACAGAATCTTCAATGCCACTGCCGCTGACTGCACCAGTCCAACAAGAAGAAAGAACGATGCCTTGTTTGCAAGACAACGTTACCGCACCGCTCTAGTTTCCAACCGAGATCAGCAACCTAGACACCCAAATGAAAAGCCACATTAGCGGCTCCCAATACTACACAATGTCAACTTCTGACAGCTTATTCCTCTGCAATAGCACTGCCAATAGGAAGAAGGAGATCAAAACTCGTTCACAACGATTATGATCAGATTGTCGGCCCTTCCAATTAGGGTGCAGTAAATCGACTAGAAAAACGCGAAGACGGCTTGTAGTAGAGAGCCCTGCGACTTCCACGCAGTGATCCTTGGTTTCAAATTTAGCTGCATTGCCGCCTATCGACCAGAACTCCTGCACTCCTTGTAATATCGCAATCCACTACATCCGCTTCGCCACCGACAAAGCAGAGAACAACGTTGATCTTCAGCGGTTAGAACCAGAACCAATATCAACTCAGCTCATTAAAAGAAAAAACAAAAAACAAAAAACCACACAGAAGTCGACCACTCTAGGCTGCATCGACGAGATCGCAAAGCACCTTCTATCGCCGCACCGTTGTAACGGAAGCACAGAACGCCTCCAGCTGCCCCGCTTGGCATGCCGAGTCGCCAACAGAACACAGACAAGAGCCTAACTGGAAAAAAAACAAAACTGTCGCACTTTCTACAGTGCGTTAAGCGTGACACAGGCGGAAGGAAAAGTCTCAGCTTCTACTAATGATGCTACAATGGCCCAGCTCACCGAGCCTGGCTTCAACGTACTTCACAAGTACTACCACGAACACAGAGAAAAAAGAAGAAGAGAGAAAAACTGAGGTCACTGGCGCACTTTGCCGGACCTGGCAGCCTCCTCCTGGAAATTTGGGATCTCACCCTCATTCCTAGAATTTCGGGCAGGTAAGGTATTCTTCCTCTTTTTCTTTTTCCTTTTCCTTTTTTTCTTCTTTCTCTTCTTCTCTTTTTATCTTTTTCTTCTTCTTCTCTTCTTTTGTCTTGCTTTCTTTTTGTTCTCTTTTTTGTTTTGTTTTGTTTTGTTTTTTTGTTTTTTTTTGTTTTTTTAATAATATATATATATATAGATATATTTAAGAATCATTAATAAATTTTTTTTTTCTTTTTGACCATAAAGGCTAATTCTATTAGACCATCATCTAATGTTGGATACAAAAACACCTCTAATATGGAAATTTATCTTTAAATTCTATCCTAGACTATATATCTATTATTGGAAATCTATTTTCTATTTTTCCTAAAAATTATAATACCAATTCACAATCTCTAATTTTAAGCACAATAAATACATTTTTTATACTAAATATTCAAGTGAGTCAATTTTGTGACTTACATATGGTGATCATCTGTGACAACTTGAAGAGGAAGAGAATCTAAAAGTCTTGCTTCAAAGATAAGTTCATATCTAAATTTAGATATATTGGATTTAATATTTTATTAAAATTATACTAAGAGTGCTATAAAACTAAAGTAAAAATATTCATATAAAAGATCGTGGTCAGTATTAATTCACTCCTATCTTCTAATACTACTTCACTTGAATTAGAAGACTATTGAAGAAATTAGTTTATTTAGTAAAGCAAGGTGAGATAATTCTATAGCAAAAGAAAAGAGACAAAACAAAAGAGATAGAATAATAGGGAAGAAAAAAAATAAAATACTTGGAAGTAAAAAATCTAAAAATTAGTATACAATGCTTATTTGGAGAGAAGAATTTGGATTAGAAGCTATAAAGCCTACATATTCTTTAGGTTGCATAAGTTAGCCACTTTCTTGCTCAAATACTTTTTGACAACACAAAAATACTAATCTATTCTAATTTATCTTTAAATCCTATAAAATAAAATTTTATTTATATATTTATTTATTTATTATATATGAATTATTAGCTCTTACTTAGTAGAAGAGATAATATTCTAATAGAATTAAAAATCACATAAAGAATAGTTTTTATCTTTTTAATGAATCAAAATCTCTATTTTCTCGATAAAAATTAAGTTTGACTAAGTTATTTACTTAGATCCTTTTTTCTTTATGTAAACAAAGAATGTAATATTTTTCCTTCTATGAGATGAATTTTTTCTTACTTAATACTCATTATACTTATTTATAGATGTTTTTGTTAGAAATAGCTTACTATTTAATGTTTCTAATTGTAAAAAATTATTATCAAATACTTCTTTAATATGACAAGGCTTTAATCAAAGAGCATCAAATTTACTAAGAAAATCTATTCTTTTAGCATCTTGTAACAATACTGGTACCTCTAATTGAAAGACTTTCTTTTTGTGATTTTTTGTCAAAGGTAATTTTCTTCTTTCTTTAAATTGCTTCTATATGTTGACGTCTAGTCTTTTCAATTTCATCAAGGTCTTTCAATTATTTTAATCTATCTTTCAATGCTTTTTGGATTATGTAGAATAGATATTAGTTCATTTCTGTAAGATATTGGTAAAATATACTAATAGTCTATAGAATAGTCAGTTCAGGAAGACGGATGATTGATTTAGTTATTAAAAGCGATTAATTACAGGATTACAATTAGAATCTGGGAATCAAGAGCAATTATATAGGAGTTGTAGAATTTTATTGGAGTACAAGACTGTGATAGTCATGAGCTAGGGTAAGCTTGGTGCTACCTCTTTGTTTCTTTGTTTTCATTGTTGTTGAAGAGTAATGGATAGTTTCTGAATATTGAGAAGTGAGTCTGTGGAATAAATCAGAGATTGATTTATGAGTTATTGATTATGTAATTGGAGTACTGAGTGATTGAATTATATGAGGGGTTACTGGAAGATTATGATTGTTGTTTATTGAGAGCTCTGTGTGTTTTGGACAAAGAAAGTTGGTGATTACAAAAATTGTGTGAATTCAGATTGATTGGAGTGAAGTCTGTTATTTCTGGTGTTGAATGGAAATTATGTGTTTTGAATAGTCTTTTGAGAGTGGAGGGTTGTACACTGTTGTTATCAGTTGATGAAAGAGTATTGTTACTGGGAGAAAACATTATAGTATTTCTTAGTGTTTTAGTGGTTCAAAATACGGTGAATTGTGTGACCCTAAAAAGCAAAACTCATGCACTTAGTCTTTTCCTGTGTTTGAATTGTCCTATACAGGTTTATTCTGAAAGGAATTGTAGAATAAGTAAAATGACAATCACAGATTATTAACTTTTCATTTATTGCTATCTTTAAGAAATTGACTTCAAATTCTATTAGTAATATAGCTTCTACTCCATATACTAAAAAAATGGAATAGATTTAGTTGTGACCTTCTAGATTGTACAATAAGCCCACAAGGCTATTCTTAATTTTGTATCTCAATCTCTCTTTAAATCTTGTATTATTTTCTTTAGAATATTTATTAAGATTTATTTTATTCTTTCTATATAATTATTAATTTTTAGTTGGAAAGAAATAATTATAAGATTTTTTATATTAAACCTGTTAGATATCTCTTCTATTATACTATTCAAGAAGTGTGTGCCTTAATTACTAATCAAAATTTTTGGACAATCAAATCAAATAATGATTTACTCATATATAAAATTAGTTGCATGGATAATACCATTGGTTTTGATAACTCTTGCTTTTGTCTATTTTGTTAGATATTTTGTGGCTACTACAATGTGTTTCATCTCCTTTGAAGAATTAGAATGAATTTCTTTTATGTAATCAATTCTTTATTTTTTGAAAGAAATTAAGAGCAAGGATATATAAAAAAAATACCATATGCACATCATTTTTTATATAATATTAGTAAGAATCACATCTTTTAGTATAATTATATACATCTTGAATCATGGTAAGCTAGTAATACCCATCTTTCATTGTCTTTTGAGCCACCAATTTATCAAAGAAGTATCTTACATATGTACTATTGTAGCATGCTATTAATATTACTAATGCTTCACCAATAATTATACATCTTTTGAGAAGACTATCTATATCTTGATGATATAATTATTTTCTTATAATAATAAAATGAATACTATTAATTCTAATTTTATATTGTTTGTATTTGGATAATTGTTTCAAGAATTTATTAAAATTTAAAAATTCTATAATGTCATTATATAAGTAAGATGGTTGGAAATGATAAAAAAGAATTCATCTACTAAGTTATTATCAATAAAAATAGGACTTAATTCTCTTTCTAACTTTAAAAGGTGATTAGCTTGGTTATGTAATTTTTTAGATTTATATTCTATCTTTATAGTCTAATTCTACTAATAATATCTATTAAGCTATTTAACCACTTAAATTTGCTTTGTTGATTAGATATTTGATGGCCACATGGTGAACAAAAAACACCACAGAATTTAACAAAAAGTAATGTCGAAATTTCTTCACAAAAAAAACTATAGCTAAGAATTTTTTTTTAGTGGTATTATAATTTTATTATGCAGCATTTAACTTTTTTCTAGTAAATGCAATAGAATAATTTTTATGCCTATCTTTTGTTGGTTGACATAATCTACTATCTACTACTATAGATGCAGCATCACAATAGATACAGAAGGAAAGATTCTAATTTGGTTGTTTTAAAACAAGTTATGAACTTAATATTATTTTTATCCAATCAAAGGTGTCTCGAAATTCTTTTGTCTACTCAAACTTAACCAACTTCTTTAAGAAGTTGATAATAACTGAAGTATTTGTAGTATAGTTGAGAATTAATTTTTAATACCATCTAAGATGTCCTAAGATCCTTTCAATCTTCTTAACATTTGTAGGAGGTTGCATTCAAGCTATGACTATTATTTTTTTTGGATTGAATTCTATTTCTTCTTTAAAAACCAGATAATCTATCAAGACCCTTTTTTATATTGCCAAGTATATTTTGTTAAGATTTAAATAAATTTTTTCTTTTTTATATCTTTCTAAGCTCTCCTCTATATGTTCTAAAAGATCCTTGGCATTAGATTGGATATTAAAATCATCTATAAATATCATCATAGATTTATGTAGTAAATCTGAAAAAGTAAAAGTAATGGCCCTTTGAAAGGCAAAAAGAGCATTACAAAGCTCAAAAGGCATGACTAAAAAAATGAAAATACTCCAAAGAGTGATAAAATCTATTTTATAATAATCTTCTATAGCTATGGTAATTTGATTATAATCCAAATGTCCATCTATAAATATATAGGTTTTGTGATTTGTCACTTCACCTAAAATACTTTTTATGAAAAGAAGGAAAAAATAGTCTTTTTAATTATGCTCATTGAATTTTCTATAATCTATGCATATTCTTAATTTACCATTATTTTTCTTCACAAGGACCATAGAAAAGACCTAATCTATTATTTCTACTAGTTTAATAAAACCAACTTCTAAGATTTTTTCAAATTCTTTTTTAATAATTAATTGGAGTTGAAGATTCATACCTATTAACTTTTTTCTAATTGCTTTAGTACCAAGAATAAAAAAATATGGTGTTGAATTACATTAGGTGGTTTTGAGCTCTCATTTATGCTCCGAAATTTTATTTTTTAATTTTTTTCTTATTTTATGATAATTGAATATGTTAGATTGGAATTTATATAAGTAGAATTTGGTTTTATTAAATTTTTAGGATTATAACCTTTAATGGTATAAATCCTAGCTTGATTCGTTGAGTTAGGTTAATTAAAAGCAAAACAATAAGGATTAAAAAATTATGATATTAATTTGGTTAGTTTTAATAATTTAGAGGTTGTTAGTCATTGCTATGAGAGTTGATTGAAAAATTATGAATTCACCTACAATCATCTCATATGATTTAGAATGAATTAGAATTAGAACTTTCTAAAAGATTTAGTGAAAT